GTGAGCAGATAGCGGCGAGGCGGCTGAAACGAGCTTAGCGCGCGCGGAAACAAAGCGCATCGATTAGCGGGTTGGTTAATCCAAGCGTTGCCGTATAGCCCGTATATACCGTCGTATCGAAGCGCGACGAGCGTCACTGGTATAAATAGCGCGGTTCGATACGCTCTTTGATAACAACCACGCTCTTTCGTCTCTCCATCGAACGAATCAATCTTTCGCTAACGCGCGTTTCGACTCGACCACGATATCAAAGACAATAACGGTTTGTCGTGGCGATGGATCGATACGTAGGTATCTATTATTAGACTGCCTCGGTCGACACGCCGATTATCGCATCCGTAACGTTATCGCTCGTTCGTCATCTCGTGGACGGTCGCGTCGCAACCCTTTTTACCGATGACACGATGCGCCAGGACGCGAACATGAAATTACCGGGGGCTAAGTCGACCGCCGTCGAACGAGAGTCGAACGAGAGTCGAGCGAGAGTCGAGGTCGAGCGACTGGACGCGGCGGCGCGATCGATCGCGTCGTATTGCTTCGGCAAAAATCTCGAGAAACACGATGAAGGAGAATCGCGCGTGTAAACACGAGCTGTGTTGTTTGCGCGGCTCGTCCTGTCGACACAGCTGCTGCGCACGAGACAGCGGGTGTAGGTCCGATTCGACGTAAGCTCGGCAATATGCGCGCATGCATAATGCCAAGCATAACCGAGTAGTTTATTTATAACGTCGCGGAAATACACTCGACACCTTTATTGTAAAAGGTTGTGTAACGTGGCTTACGTGTTGCGTAACCGCGACAGAAACTACACGTTCACGAACCAACCGACCAACCGTCTCGCGTCCCTGCACCGCGCGTCGAACACGACGGGCTGCGATCGCCGAACGACGCGAACGACGAATCGATTTCCGCGCTTTACGAGCGTGGTTCGCATCGTTGCGCTTTACGTATCGTGTATCGCATCGAGTTACACGAACAAATGGCTTGCGCGACAACGGACGAGCGCGATTCACGAGTATCGATAGGTCGTTCGAGCGTCGATCGCGTCTATTCGAGGAAAGAAAGATGGCGATAATCGGCAGGGTCGGTC